TACCATCACTCCAAATATTAGGGCAGTACACTAGTGTTATGATGGCAATCAAGTCACTGTACGATAGGAACTTTTCAGCTTCATTTTAATTATGTGGAACCACTGCTAGATATTCAGTGAGTTATTTATTAAAACATTATATGATACATGACTGTATATTTGTCTCATATACCTTATTTGTTGCTAGTACTGTCTATATTGTGGTCACCATGCTATCCTAACTTATTCTTCCTATGTAAGATTTTTTTTTCTTATTAGTAATGATGTATAGAGCTGGAATACATATTTTAACACAAGAATTAGGATTAAACTAGGTGGTGCAGTGCCTCTTGCCTGTTAATTTAGCCTCTTGGGAGGTAGAGACTGAGGGGTTCATGGGTTGAGGCCATCCTGGGCAAAAGTTTGCAAGGACCCATCTCACCCAATAAAAAGCCGGGAACAGGAGCACATATAAGTGACAACATCTAACCATGTGCATAGCGTAAATAGGGAGATTATAGTCTGGGTTGGCTGGGCCATAAATGCTAGACCCTACCTAGAAAATAAGAAAAGCACAATGGGTTGGAGGAATAGCCCAGCCTGTTTAGCAAGCACAAGTCTGAGTTGAAAACGCAAGTACTGCCAAAACAACCACCACAAGGATTGAATTGAGATTAGAGTCACAGAATTAGATGATGCTAGGAGAACTAATCTGCAGATTAAAATTAGCCCTCAATTTCAGGGTCCTTATCCTAGTGATTTTTATATTCAAGCAAGGACACCTGTTGAAGTATATGAAGCAAATAGAGTTTGATATAATAGGAATTTCTCACCTACTTTTACTAATAAACATAATAGTATTATGTGTATTAAGCTTCTAAATCAATAACTATACACATGGCTTCATGTCTATATACTTACCATTAGGAATACTATGGGAGACCATGGTTGTAGCACATTAGCTAATGTAGAGCCTGGACACTTAAGGGAAAACATGATCATTTAACATTCACTAGAAGAAAGTAGTAAATATAGATTTGGACATTGTTTTATAAAAAAACCAAGGGACTCCGGCTGGGAAAGTGGCTCAGTGATAGAATGCTTGCCTTGCATACATGAGGCCTTGGGTTCAATTCCTCAGCACCACATAAGCAGAAACCAGAAGTGGCACTGTGGATCAAGCGGTAGAGTGCTAGCTTTGAGCTGAAGAGCCTAGGGACAGTGCTCAGGCCCAGAGTTCAAGCCCTACAACCAAAAACAAAAAACAAAACAAAACAAAACAAAAACAAGGGACTCATCTATAGATTAGATCTCTAATTGATCATAGGACAAAACTTCCTGTATTGTGTACTAGATTTAGAGGAGGGTTTGTTGCCTCTGACAAATAATACATCTTGGACCTTGAGCATAATAGGCAATGAGCTATATCCAGAATTGTAATCAACAGGCTTTGTACAACTTTTCAAATAGTTTGGAGCAATTTAAGTATAGACAGGGCTTTTCACATACATTGACTTTTCATTTTCTAGGACTTACGTGTTAGGTGATGACCGCTGAAAATGTTGAGGCTATTAAAAGCTATCAAGTTCTTTCAGTCAGTTTGGTTTTTTTTGTTTGTTTCTTTTTGGCAGAAGAAATTTAAAGCAATTTTAAAGCTTTTAACTCTTAAATAGAATTGTGGGAGATGTGTTACTTTTCTTTGTTTTATAATTTTATTTGATTTCTAAAATTAAAAAAGTATTGGTTTGGTAACTAGGGGAAATGAAAGAATTAAAAGGGAGATTAAGGACCTTCTAGTTGTACCACTAAAGAGAGTTTATGGCAAGGTGAAAGTAGTAGCAAAAAAATATTGCTAAATGAGAAAAAATTACATGACAGGTTATAATAATGAAATGTCAGTGGGATCAACTTATCTTTTGTTGGATTGTGTGTGTGTGTGTGTGTGCGTGTGTTCGTGCATGTGTGCGTGTGTGCGTGTGCTGTCCTGGGGCTTAAACTCAGAGCCTAGTCACAGTCTTTGAGTTCTTTTTTTTGCTCAGCGCTAACATACTACCATTTGAGCCACAGTTCTACTTCGGTTTTCTTTTGGGTGTCCCATAGAGTTTCCTGCTCCAGCTGACTTTGAACCTCCATTGCTCCAAACTGGAGGTAAGAATCTCATGGACTTTCCTGAACAGTGATCCTCAGATCTCAGCCTCCTAAGCAGCTATGATTACAGACGTCAGTCACCAGTACCCAGCTAAACTTACTTTTTGTGGCAAAGTCTAACTTTAAAAGTGCCACCCCATGCCGGGCGCCAGTGGCTCACACTTGTAATTCTAGCTGCTCAGGAGGCTGAGATCTAAGGATCATGGTTCAAAGCCAACCCCGGGCAAGAATGTCCATGAGACTCTTTATCTCCAATTAACCACTAGAAAACCTGAAGTGCCACTGTGGCTCAAGTATAGCGCTTGCCTTGAGCTGAAGAGCTCATGAACAGCACCCAGGCCCAGAGTTCAAGCCCATGACTGACAAAAAAAAAAAACCACTCCATAGTATATACAAGATAAATGTGTAAACCCAAATGATTCAAAGAACTTGAAGGGATAATATAAGGCTAATTATGACAGAGGAACACAAAAGGAGTCATAATGTTTAGTTTGATATATTTAAATGTAAAACATAAGTGGGATAGAAATGATACATGCAAGCCATTGTGATGTCAAGAACCTATATAACACCAATGAATAAAGAACTGAAATACAAATATGAAAAAATTTAAAATTATTATAACTCAGAAGTTTATACATTCTAGACTTCTTTACTGAATGACAGATTAAGACAGTAATTCTATATTCAGTATTCAAAGCTGGGTGCTGGTAGCTCACGCCTGTAATCTTAGCTACTCAGGAGGCTGAGATCTGAGGATCACTGTTCAGGAAAGTCCATGAGATTCTTACCTCCAATTAACCACCAGAAAACCATAAGTGGCGCTGTGGCTCAACTGGTAGAGCACTGGCCTTGAGCTGAAGAGCTCTGGGACAGGGCCCAGGCCCAGAGTTCAGGCCCCACGAGGGACAAAAACAAAAGTTAAAAAAAAAAAAATCAGCAGTCATACAAGACAAATAAGGGACTGTATATGCTGAAAATAAGTATATCTTCTCCAGTATTTAGGAGATGTTTATGAAAGTAATGTTTTTGGTTACAAGGAAAATTTCAGATGATAGCTGAGAATCTGCCTTCGGTATGTGAAGTACATAAGGAAATAGGGTAATTTTTAGATTTTTCTCTTAACAATTCCTGAGTTAAAGAACTAAAATCTGCATTTCTAAGATATTTAGATAATACAATAACATCAGAGTATCCTGCATTTTCCGTCCTCCCTGCCCCCTTTTTTTCCCCTGACAAACTAATAGTGTTTCTGGTTCCAGGAAAGTAGTTAAAAGACAGCCTAAAGTTGTTGTTGTTTTTTAAGTTTCCTGGCTTTTTTAAATGAACAAAACATTTTCTCTGATGTGAGATTGGGCTTTAAATATCACTGTGAACCTTGGAAACTTGTCATTCATTGGGCTTTATTGTAGAGTACACATCGGTAGCAAATTATTTGGGGTAGAAGGGCAGAAACATGAGGAAATTGTCTTCCTAAGGACTCTATTCCATGTGATAATTCTAATATTCAAGAGTGGTAATTGTGCTACTCATATGGGAAGAGAGGTCAATTATTAGAATAGATTGAACTGTGGGATATCCAGAGTTCTTGGTTCCTTTTTACCTCCATCTTCTTTGTTAATTCTATTTCATTACATAATTCAGCCCTTTGTGCTTCGGGTTCTTCATTTATAAATAAGGAAGTGGAATTAAAATACTTACATTAATTTTGTGGAGCTTCAAATAAGTTCATTAATTAACTACTAAACATCACCCTTTCAGGTCTCTGTGGTCTGAGGGAGCGTTTATGGTACCATTGAGAGCAGAGCAGAATGAGTATCTTAAACAGAAGAAACCGAGGAAATGGGGCATTGGGAAGCTTTAGCAGTGTGATATTGGAGCTGGTCTCAAAGATCAATAATAGCTTGTCGAATGAACAGTGACAGGGACAATTCTAGGAAACGAGGTATAAAGCTAATTACTGGTGGTGCAAGCCTGTAATCCTACTACTCAAGAGGCTGAGATCTGAGGGTCATAGCCTGCACAGGAAATTCTTTTTTTTTGGGGGGGGGTCCGATTGTGGGGCCTGAACTCTGGGCCTGGGCGCTGTCCCTCAGCTCTTCAGCACAAGGCTAGCACTCTACCACCTGAGCCACAGCACCACCTCCGGCTTTTTTTCTTTTTGCTTATGTGGTGCTGAGGAATTGAACCCAGGGCCTCATGTATGCAAGGCAAGCGCTCTACCACTGAGCCACCTTCCCAGCCCCCAGGAAATTCTTTGAAACACTTATCTCTAATTAACCACCAAAAAGCCAGAAGTGGAGGTATGGTTCAATTAATAGAGGGTAGCCTTGAGCAAAAACATTCAAGGACAACTTTATCTAAGGCCATGAATTCAAGTCCCAGGACCACCTTGAGCATGCAGGTGCATGTATATGCACACATGCACACTCGCGTGCACACACACTCACACAGTTGTAGAGACAGACAGCACATTTTGTTTTTTGGAAAATACAAGTTATTCATGTGACAGTTAACATGGACTTACGGGAGAGTAGTAGCAAAATACCAAACACTGAGATATGGAGCCAATGATGTGCTTTATTTCACATTAAAGAATATTGGCTTTAAATTAAAGACAGTAGCGCCATGGCACTTTTTTCCAACACAGAAGTGGAGGAAGACACTAAGAGTTAGTTGAAATGAATGCAGAGTTAATAGTTAGCAAACTGGCAGGTCACAAAATTAAAGTAGGAAGTAGTGATAGGAAGATTTTATTACAGGTCTCTAAAATGCATGGGGTCTGAGAGTATGTGAAAGCCCTGACACTTTGTGTGAAATTAGTTTTACTAACTTTGTTCTCAACATCTATTTTCTCTTCACTTTTTTTATAGTGGACAGGCCAAAATCACAGCAAGTTCGAACTTCCAGTACAATAAGGAGAACCTCTTCTTTGGATGCGATAACAGGACCTTACCTCACTGGGCAGTGGCCACGAGATCCTCATGTTCACTACCCTTCATGCATGAAAGATAAAGCGACTCAGGTAAAAGCAACTAAATTAATGTTTACAAATAGTTAACAACAACAAAAAACTTTATATAAACCAAGCACAATTTTTTTGTTCTCTGGATTTTAGAAGTTTTAAAATTATTCAATATTTAATAGATACCAATCTATATTACACAGTTTTAGAAACTACATGGTAATTGTGAGGATGCTTCCCAATAGAAATTAAAGTAATAACTAATAACCATTTTAGAAAATATTTTTAAAGAATTTTGTACAATTTTTGAAAATAATTATAAAGTATCAGCAACATGAATAATGAAGTTTATGTGGAAGGTTTATTTCTTTCATGCTTAAAGCCAAGATTAAAAACTTAGAGAGAGAAATAGAAAATGTACTGTTTGTTACACTTTACCTGTTCTCAAAATAATCTCTCAATATCTTTATTCATAATTAGCTGAGTTATTGATGATATCTTCATCAGTATTTATTGACATTGAAAAATATTAAAAGTGTATTGGGCATAAAGGTCCTATAGTATAGATAGAAAGATAAAATGTATGAAAATTGGTAATAGACAATAGTAGATAAACAATAGTAGTAATATACAGACATAGGTAGTACATGAGTAAAACATGTAAGCATGAGGACATTCCGGAGGAGGAGGACATTTTAGGTTTTGTAGGTTTAAAAAAATATAGAAAGATTAATTCTGTGTCAGAATAAGGGCAAAAGAGTGAGGAGAATTTAAATGTGATCTATGAAAATTCTACTTCATAATTTTCTCAGGAAAGCTAGGAACTGTGAAATTAGCTTCTGTATCATCGATTTCATCACTTCTGCCTTTGTAACATTTTATGCTGCCAGTCATTTGGCTTTTCTATTCTTACTTTAGTGAGAAAAATACCAGCTGATAAATAGTGGGATTCTCAATTAGAAATAACTGGCAAAGCTTAAAGATGCTGTCCTATGCATTTAGAACAAAATTTAGACACAGATAATTGAGAACCATATTTCTGGAAGAGTTGGAGTCACAGTTGTGTAAAAGTGTAGGGCTAGAGTATAATGGAAAAATTAAACAGAATTTAGTGTATGGGAAGGTACACAATAAGGCAGTGAACTAATTTATTCATCTAAAAGCAAGAGGAAGGGGGCACATAACATGTACTGTTGTGTGTGTGTGTGTGTGTGTGTGTGTGTGTGTGTGTGTGTTTAACCTGTACTTTGTTTTAATTCTCACGAGAACATTACAGCTTGTATTGTTAAACAAGGTGAGTCAGACATCTTGAATTGTTCCTGTTTAATTCAGAATTTGATGTTTGGGTTTTGTTTCTGTTTTTTAATTTTTACTGTTTTTTGGACTCAGGACCTTACTCAAACATTTGAGCCATGTCTCTAGCTCTTTTTGGCTTATGTTTCCAATAGAATGTTGAATTTTTTTTTTCTAGTCAGCTTAAAACTATTGCAGTCTCCCTACCTTTTCTTAAAAGGTAGGACCAGTGGTCTGATATGTAGCTGAGCTTCCAGGGCACTTTTTGCCTGGCCTGTTGGGCAAGATGGAGGTCTCAAGAATTTTTTGCCTGGATTAGCCTTGAATTGCTATCCTCCCAATCTCTGTCTCTTAAGTAGCTGGTGTCGCATGTATGAGTCATTACACCTGGTGTTTTAGACATTTCATAGAGTCATGAAATTCTTAGTGTTTAAAGAATTTCAGGGTAGCTTTTTAATTGGTATGTGCTAAGAATTTGGCTTATAGAGACAAATATATATGTATATATATATGTGTGTATATATATATATATATATATATGTGTGTGTGTGTGTGTGTGTGTGTGTATGTGTGTGTATACTTCTCTCCCTCCCTCCCCCCCACTCCTTAAGACTCCTAGCTGTTGGGCAGAAGAGGGAGCAGAGAAAAGGTCACATCAACGTTCTGCATCATGGGGAAGTGCTGATCAACTAAAAGAGGTAAGGAATTTCTGTTTGCAATCTATAATCTGTTTTCATTCTAAAGATTATTTTACTACTTCCTGAGTATACTAGTACTACTTTTGTTATATTCAGAGTTTAAGGGTTGAATTCTGTGTTTTGGTTAGCAAATCAGGTTTCCTTATTTGTATTCTTTATGTCCTTTATTAACTTTTGCTATAGTCAGCTGCAGCATTTCCAGAATAAAGAATGTTTTTCTATAATAATCTCTATATCTTTTCATTTTGATTGCATTTATTTTCCCTTCAGCCTGCTTATTTTTAAATTATAGCACCTAGTGTTCTAAATCATATTCTGTGTATGATAATATCTGTGTAAGAAAAGATTTTCTGTTTCTGATAGCTTGTTTTCTTCAAATAGCTTTCTTATGATATTCACCGTAATACTTTTCTTTGAGATCCAAAATTATGGTGACTCTTTTAGAAATTACCTATTTCTAGCACAAAGAATATTTTTGTTTATATTTGATGTTCTTTTTCTAGGAGTTTTATGGATCTAAATTCTTAACTGTGTGTTTTTTTAATAAAATAACAGAAATTAGAACTAAAATGGTATCTAACCCACCTATTATACAAGCACTCATTTAAAAAGTGGTATTCAGGCACAAGTGGCTCATGCCTGTAATCCTATCTACCTAGGAGGTGGAAATCTGACAGATCTCAGTTCAAAGCCAGGCCAGCAGAAAAGTCCATACATTCTTATCTACAATTAACTACCAAAAAACCAGAAGTGGAGCTTTGACTCAAATGGTAGAGTGGCCTTGAGCAAAAAAAAAAAAAAAAAGTCTCATAGACATTGTTCAGGCCCTGAATTCAAGCTCTAGGACCAGCATACACATACATAGTGGTTTTCTTCTGTGTTGCAGTCTTCTCTGTAGGGAGAACTCGTTACTTTATAAGAGAACCAGTTTGATTGTTTTAGCTTAAGTTGTCAAAAATGTTCTTTTATATATTGAACTTAGAATTTTACTATTTAGTAAAGTGGTAAATTCTCTATCACTAGGGTCAATATTAAATCTTCCTTAAATATTTTAATATGTCATTTATTTTCTCCAGGTTAAACATCAACATTTCTCTCAAATGTTTCTCATAAACATAATTCTTATACCTTTTAATATTATTTTCACATAGTGTAGAATATCACTATTCCTCATGTACTGTGGTATTTAAACTGAATAGTCTGTTACCATGATTTTGTCTGTGATTCTATTACATTTTTTGCAGCTAGTTTATGTTATGGAAGTAGAGAAAGCCTAACTCCCACTACCTCACACCTAACACATGAATAAAAGCAATATACCCAGAAGCAACCAAAAAGAAGTGAAATCAAGTCTAAATGGCCACACTAAAGTAGGGCTGCAAATCCATGCATAGAGTATGACTCATAAATAAATGAGCTTGTAGTTCAGAATTAAATACAATCTCAAAGTTATCACAAGATTTGATAGAGTTGAACCATAGTAACTGGATTATAGCAACACATGACATACACTATTAAAAAAGGAATGACTGAATGAGAAGATCTGATTACCCTCCTCAGAAAGAAACTAGAAGGCTAGGCAAGACAGTCAAAACAACCAAATAAAAGGTGAGAAACTATATCTATGAAAACTACTGAATAGGGTAAGAAAAGCACAAGTATGGTGTTCTTGTCTCATGCTACTTCTCTTCCCTTCTTCCTCACGCCCAGCTCTGTTGGTGTGTCATCTCAGCCACAGTGGGCAGACCTTGAGAACCAGCAGCTTTGCTGACCATGCTGATTTGGAACATTGTAGTTACAGTAGTGATCTTGGTGACAGGAGAACAGGGAGGACCAGTGACTTCACGAGTCAGAAGTGATAGTCCGATTTGGGCAAGCAGCAAACTCATGGTCTAAACAGATTTGATAAGAGTTCTGAAAGGTAAGATTATCAGGGAGACTTGAAAATTTTTCCACATAGCCCAGGCTGATAGAGCTGTGGACCTGCATAGAAGAGAACAGAGAGGACCCAAGTCACCCAGACATCCCTGATCTGGTTCCTAAGCATAGGTGCAAAGGAGATTAAAGATGGCCAATGGAAATAAAACCTAGAGAATAGTGACATGGCAAGACTGTTCACAAGAAAAGTCTATTTTCAGTCTTTTAAGGAACTTACATACTGTTTTCCATAGTGCTTGTACTAGTTTACATTCCCACCAACAGTGTGTGAAGGTTCTCTTTTCAACATCCTCCCCAGCATTTGTTGTTTGTTTTCTTGTTGGATACCATTGTGACTGAAGTGAGATGGAATCTTAGTATTATTTTGATGTGCATTTTCTTTATGACTAAGGATGCTGAACATCCCATTACTATTATGTTGGGGTCTTTGCTTTTTAGTTCCACTGGTGTTGCATTAATGAAATTATGTGTACTCACATTTGACTCATATAGGTTTAAAAATTGTTATTTTATTTTGATGACTTATTGCCTTATTAAAGAGATGATCTTCTTTGTCTCTTCTGATTTTGATGTGAAATCCACTTAATTAGACTAAACTATAGTTACTCTGACTTGCATTTAGGTTCTATTTGTTTGGAAGATCTTTTCCACAATTTCACCCGTAACCAAATTGTTTTTCTGTCAATAAGAATACTTCTTGCAGGCAACAGTGATTGAGCTATGTTTTTTAATCCAGTTTTCCATTCTGTATCTTTTGTTTAGAAAATTGAGACACTTAACATCCAATGTCATTGAAGGGTTTATTGTAATTCCTACCATTTTTTTATTTTTTATAGTTTTTATAGTACTTGGTTCTTTCATTCCCCTTTTAGATTCATATGCTTATCTACTCATCTCACGAGATTTATTTTCTCTTATATTCACTATACTTCTTTTCTGTGTTTGCAGGATTCCTTTTTAGTCTCTTTGCAGTGTTTTAACAATCAAAAATGGCTTTAATTTTCATAGAATGTTTTCTACTTAGGTTATGAATTTGCTGGGTAGAATAATCTAGGTTGGAAGGTTTTTTCGAGTGCTCCAAACATATTCCGTGCCTTCCTTGCCTAACTCTTTCTGTCAAGAAATTCGTTATTCTGTGTGGTTGTATATATTCTGATGGTTCCTATACTATTGTATAGGTAGTTTGGCACATCTGTCTTGCAACATTCAGTAGTCTCTCCTTGTTCTTCACACTTACTAATTTAACTGATGTGTCTTAGAGTGGTTCTTTCCTGGTCAAGTCTGGTATTATAAGCTTCTTATTTCAGAATGTTGTTTCTTTCACAATATTTGGGCAATTTTCTCATTATTTTATTGAATATGTCTTCTATCCCTTTAGCTTTCATCTCTTCCCTTTCTATGCTCATGATTCATATGTTAGGTCTTCCCCCTTCCCCTTCATGAGTCCCAAAGGTCTTATCCCTAAACCCTGATAATCAGTTTGATTTGACTTTATTCAAGAGACTTTCTGCTGAGTTTTAAATTTTGATTTTCTAGGCTTTTTATTTCCAGAATTACAATTTGATTCTTTTCCAGGATTTCTATATCTAGTGAATTGCTTTTTTCATTTCCTGATTATCTTGTATAAGACTTTGTTCAGCTGTTTATTTGTATCCTCTTTAAGTTTCTTTTCTGTTAATTTGTTTCCTCTTTGAGTTCATTCAGTTTTTTTAATCACATTTTGTTGATGATTTTATGTTCATAGTTCTGAATTCTTTAGTCTTTCCTCCTCGTCACCATCCTTAGCATATGATTGGCCTTTGGAGATGCTACCTTGTGTTAGGATTCCTGTGTACTGTGTTGAAATGTACGCACCTGAGGCCAATTCAATGGTTAAGAATTTTAGTTATCTGTTAGTCTTGAAGTTGAAATGTTCACCAGTGCTCAAGCAGGACTGTGTAGTGGAAAGGTTACAGTGTAATTTCTCTACACTGGATTAATGTATAGATCATAAGCCAAATTGTTCCTTGTATGCTCAGGGCACTATGCCTAATTCCTCAGCATCATTTAGAATATTCTCCTATCATTCAGATAGAAAAGAACTTGTATTTCTTTGTGTATAGATTATTGTTACATGAGAGTTGAGGGTGGAGGTGATCAAGGATCATTCTCTGCTCTGTGCTGCTTATTACTCTTTAGAAGTTTCCCTTAGCTGGGCACTGGTGACTCGTGCCTGTAATCCTAGCTACTCAGGAAGCTGAGATCTGAGGATTGTGGTTCAAAGCCAGCCTGGGCAGGAAAGACCGTGAGACTCCTATCTCCAATAAACCATTAGAAAACTGGAAGTGGCGTTGTAGCTCAAGTGGTAGAGCACTCGCCTTGAGCTGAAGAGCTGAGAGTCAGCACCCAGGCCCAGAGTTCAAGCCCATGACTGACAAAAAAAAAAAAAGAAGTTTCCCTTCTTTGTGTACTGGAAGCCACTTACTGTTGCACAGTGCTTTTTAGTCTATAGGACAGTCAAACTCCCACTTGCGGCACAGGTCCCATGTTTGTGCTTCCTGAAAGCAGCACAAAGGCTGCTCAGGGTGTGTGTGTTTGCCTACTGTACCTGACAATGGGGAGAGCAAATGGTGCACTGAATTCTACATTAGTAGTGGGAACTGAGGAACTTAGGTGATTCATCTCTATACTTTCAGACCCCACCTAGCAGTTTATCATTCATAGGAAGACAGGCTAGAGTATATCATGTGAGCCTTGGGTCTTCTGTGCTTAGAGCACTCAGCCCCACCTGGCAGCAAGCCCTCAAAGCCACCTGATAGTTCTTAGATACTGAGCATTCCGCCAGCCATTAGCTTATTGTTGTTTCTGTAGTGATCTTCAGACACTGAGACTTGTTGTAGCCAGTGGAGGCAGGGAAACTGTCCTCTGAGCCTTTCACTTCTATTCCTGCTTTGAATTTTCAGCTTGCCTGTAAGCTCCTCCCTCCTCACCACCATTTCTCATAGTGGCTTCTTAATTGTTCCAAGTCCTTGAGGTGTGGCTCACTATCTAGGCTTCCCTAGTGTTAGACCACTTAAAAACAACTAATGTAAACTGAGCACTTTGTAATATGAGTTCTGTACCAGGAGAAGCTACCTAGATTTGTATCTGAAATGGTCCTCAGGCTATGAAGCTGTTCTCACTATGCAGGATGGAACTGCTGAACTGTGAGCCTTTTTCTGCTTCCTGAGTACAGAAGCTCCTCCCTCAAGGTGCCACATTACAGTGTCTCTCCTTGGTGGAGCAAAGGGTTGTCCTGTGATGTTGGCCTATCAATCTGGGGAAGTCACTGTTGTGCCAGGGCCTAGTATTGTGGTTTAAGGTTTGCAGGAGGAGGTGGAGGCTTTGGCTTCTCTCTGAAAAATGGAATTGGGACTCTTGCTGCAATCTTTTAAAAAAATATTCTCTGTTGCCTTTCTGTGTTGTAACACTTTTCAGTTGTTTTGACTGCTCTTGATTCTCCTTATTCTTTGTGTTTTTTCTTTCAAATATAGCCTTTTCTTGTTACTTAGGTTCTTCTCATTTGGAGTCTAATGGAGAGACTGTGAGAACTAGCCAGTATCCTATGAGAATTACATTAATTCTTGTCTAGAACAGCATCCCTAATGACCTAATCACATTCTACTAGATCCCACCTTTTAAAGATTTTTATACCACCTTCCAGTAGGCTCTTAAAGCTCTACAATAATGATCAAGTTTCTAAAACATAAACTCTTTAGGGCACATTCAAACTGTATCTACACTATAGTAGTTCTCTTTCAAATGATTAGGAAATTTTGTACTCTGACACATTTAGTAGATTATACACCACTTAAAATACGTAAGTATTATAATGAATTCTGAGTTATAGTGATGATTTTTTGTTAAACCTGGGAGTATAACCTTTCTATTTAGGAGAATGTAGTCTAAATTACCTTATTTCTGATGACTAAAGGGTAACATATAGTAAGATATTACATACCAATGAACTAGGAAATAGCTTGGATTCCTTTCATCGGTGGGATCTATAGTTTTAAGATGTCTAGTAATTAATAAACTAGACCCATTTTATTTATACAAGACTGAAACTTAGAAATTAATGTGATCCTACTTTAAGAGATTAGGTTTGACTTTAGTTAATAAGCATCTGATATTATTTATTATATTATAAAATGTTTTTTAAAAGGAAGATATTTCTGGCATTGCAGAGGTGAAATTTGAGATAATATTTGGAAATTTTAATCTAAACATTTATGAGTAACAGTATAAATTTGTGAAACATTCTGTAGCAATCTATACAAGAAGTGAAGTATTTGTAGCATGTATTTATTTGTCATATTCAAAAGCCTTAGTCACAAAAACTTTGAAGGGTAATTTATTGTGGTATAATATTACCTCTTCTTGAAACATTTGAGAAAAAGTCACTAGCATTTGAAAATTGAAGAACAAATACAAAACATTGGTATTTATTTTTGTTGTCTTCTTACTTTTCCTCTCTTCTTCCCAAAGCAGATTGCCAAACTGAGGCAGCAACTGCAGCGCAGTAAACAGAGCAGTCGTCACAGTAAGGAAAAAGATCGGCAGTCACCTCTCCACGGCAACCATATAACAATCAGTCATACTCAGGTAGGCTTAACTTCTTGTTGTCCATATTTGAATCACTTTTAGTTGTTTATTAAAACAGAATCATTTTAGGACTTAAAATATAGCAAAGTCTTTAATACATTATTAGTACTGCATTAAATTGTTTTAAATACATTTTAAATCTTTTGAATAACAATCAACTTAAGATAATATTCTGAAATGACACTGACCTGAGCTAAAATTACAGTTCATGTATCTTTTGAACAACTCTGGACATTATCTTGCTTTATCTTCTTAGTCTGTCTACTTCTAAATTTCTTTATATACATAACTGCTATTTTCACATAGGAAAAAATTGTAACTCCCAGAAACATGTACTAATATATCCCATGGGACAAATTCCCAGAAATACTACCCTTGACCAAATTTACTTACAAATGTTAATACAAATCTTAGTAAATCAAATATGATACTATAATAAAAAAAGTCAAACTGTTTTGGGGGTATGTTTCATAAGGATAAGAATGATTCAATTCATTCATTAATAGGAAGTATATTTTTTTACATTAAAAAATTTTAGACAATAGTTTTTGATTCATTATAATACTTGATAAGAATTTGATAATGATTTGTGATTTAGCTACTTAAAGATAATAAAAAAATTTTAAACCTTTATTAATGACCAACATGATAATTCATGCCTGTTGTCCTACAACTCAGGAGGTAAAGATAGGAGGAATGTAGTCTAAGGCCAACCTAGGCAAAAGCATGAGACATTATATGAAAAATACTGGAAGTGTGGCTTAAATGATGAAGTGCTTGCTACCAACCATAAGACCCTAAACTTAGTCCTTATACCACATATACATATACACACATTCACACACCTAAAAAGAAAGATGCATTCTCTGACTAAACTAAGAACAAGATGCTTCCTAATGAATTAAATGAAACTGTAGGGAGACCTTATCAATAAAATAGTGACAGCATTTCTGCCAATTGACATTCTATACAGGACAGAATAGACAACAGTATTTGCATATGATACCATATATTTAGAATATTATAGTGAATTAATTAGACTATTAAAGCTAAGTATTAGATTGGTAAAATGAAAAATAATACTAGGTACTGATGAGAATGTGAAATAGAGAATAGTCACGTTCCTGGTGGGAGTGAAAAGTGGGGCAGCAACTTTGGCAAACAGTTTATCATTTTATTAGGTTAAATTTACACTAAGCATTAAACCCAAGTTTTTTAATTTTTGGTATCTAGAAAAGCAAATTCAAAAGCTTAGTCATGAATATTTTTGGAGATATAATTCATTATAGTAAAAAAACAGATTCATTATCTGATGATTTGATAATAAGAACATTGCACATATTTGTATAGTGAACTACTATTCAGCAGTAAAATGGAACAAGTGATGCATATGGTAGCATGGATGAATCGCAGAAGCATGCTAAATTTAAGAAGTTAGGCCCAAAGGCTACTTATTTTGTTACATTAATTTTTTTTTCTTTTTTTTTTTGTCGGTCGTGGGGCTTGAACTCTGGGCTTGGGAGCTGTCTCTGTGCTCTTCAGCTCAAAGTGAGTGCTCTACTGCTTGAGCCATAGTACCACTTCCAGTTTTCTAGTGGTTTATTGGAGATAAGATCTCATGGACTTTTCTGCTGGGGCTGGCTTTGAACCATGATCCTCAGATCTCAGCCTTCTGAGTAGCGAGGATTGCAGGCGTGAGCCACCAGCGCCCAGCTATATTAAATTCTTTAAAAGGTAAAATTATAAAAACTTAACATTGGTACCAGGAGCTGGCTCAAGAGAGGCTATCAGAAATTTTGGGGGTTGATAGAAGGTTCTGAATGTTCCTGTGCCAATCAACAACTGGATGACAGTTTATGTTTAACAATGCTCAACTAACTGCATACTTAAAATGGGATTTTACTATCTGCTGATAAAATCTTACCAGTACTGCAAGCCTCAACATTTAAAGTGAAAATTCATGTGCTTTGATAGCAGTTTATCCCCAGTTAGTATACAAATTGTGTTTGAATTTAAAGTTATGAGATTATTTTTAATTTTTTATTATCTTTAAGTGGTTGTACAAAGAAGTTCCCATCCTACATAACAGTATATGAATACAAAGTGTCTGGTAACATTGTCACCCATTGCTCTTAACCCACCTAAGGGATTATTTTTAATGTCTTGAGATGTTATTTCTGAAGTTCATTGAAATACAAGGACCAGAACTAAAAAAGAAAATGTGAAAACTTTTTCCTACAGGAAACAATAAAATGAGCACTTAGTTTGTAGGAATTATCAGATAATAGTTCTAGGAAGTCCTTAAATAAAACGTTAGGGCAAATGGATTAAGATGTGTGTATGTTGGGGGGCAACAGAGGGGGGAGTAAAGAATACCAAGACCTCTTCTCCCTTGCGTTGTCCACAAAAATAAATAGCTTCAGTATTTAAGAGTGAAAAACTCATAAAAGTACCAAAAGAAAAATGTAACCCTAAACAAATGGCAAATGTGTGATAAAGTTAAGGTTTCAGTTTTCATTCACATATCAGAAAGAGACAAAACATGTTAATGGGCAGAGTTTACAGATGGGAGGAGCATGCATTGAGTATGGGAACATTAATGTGCTTCTCAGTGATTGGAAGTCTTCTTCATTACTAATCACGTATAGCAGCAAAAATCTTTAATGTTAGATGAGATCATTTATTTTATTTATTGTGTGGTGTGTGCATGCAAACACACACCAATCTTGGGGCTGGAACTAAGGGCCTGAGCACTGTCTCTTAGCTTTTTCATTCAAGATTGGAACATTGCCACGAGAGCCATACCTCTGCTTTTGCCTTTTTGTTGGTTAATTAGAGATCAGAGTCTCACAGACTTTCCTGACTGGCTTGGCTTCAAACTATAATCCTTAGATCTCAGCCTCCTGAGTAGTTTACAGGCATGAACCACTGGCACCTGGTTATTTTCCTGTTTATCTTTTTTTTTTTTGGGGGGGGGTCCGGTCGTGGGGCCTGGACTCTGGGCCTGGGCGCTGTCTGTCAGCTCTTCAGCTCAAGGCTAACGCTCTACCACTTGAGCCACAGTACCACTTCCAGCTTTTTTCTTTTTGCTTATGTGGTGCTGAGGAATCGAACCCAGGACCTCAAGCATGCAAGGCAAGCGCTCTACCACTGAGCCACCTTCCCAGCCCCTGTTTATCTTTTTTTAAAAAAACTTCTTTCCTATTGTTTAATTTCCTTAAACATCAAAATGTCCATTAACATTTTTTGGTAATCTCTATAGTAGCTATCAGAAGTGGGTAATTTTTGAAAACTATAAAGGACTTCTGTATTGCCTAATAACCAATTCAGTAAGTTGTTTTTTTTAACAATTGACAAAATGGAAATGAAAAATACTAAGAGGTAATTGTCACTATATAGGAAACAAATCTTTAGAATACACACAGAACTAACTACAGCAGGATTCCATGATAACTTGCATAATTTCAATTATATTTTCCCAGTAATGAAGATGCTGTCCATTATTCTGAGAGAACAAGTGTGTACATTATAAAGTTATACCTTTATAATTGTGTAAAAGATTTTCAAGAATATTTTTACTCCATACAATTTTTAACCTTCCTTACTTTAACTTTCTGTATATGTATCTAACTTCATACTCTTTTGAAATGTTAAAAATAATTTAATTGAATGCTTATATTAAGGTGTTTTGTGCATATGTGCAGTGAATAGTATGTTTAGAAATTGTATGTATGATATATAGTATACTGGAGATTGTACCTGGATGGATATATGCTAGGCAAGAGCTCTGGAACTGAGCTACATCCCCAGCCTTCAACTATTTAATCAACTAGTTGATTAATAAATCAGTTTGTGCATGTATTAAACCCAGGGCCCTGTACTTGCCAGGCATGTGTGTGCTCTACTACTTGACCTATGTCCCCAATTCTCTAGCCCTTCAGTTTTTAAGATTTACCATGCTCCTTAGCTCTTGATTGCTTTGCACAAATAACCTAACAACACTTTATCTTCTGTATCAAAGGCTACTGGATCAAGGTCAGTCCCCATGCCACTTTCAAATATGTCTGTGCCAAAATCATCTGCTTCACGTGTGCCCTGCAATGTAGAAGGAATAAGTCCGGAACTGGAAAAGGTATTCATTAAAGAAAATAATGGGAAGGAAGAAGTGTCCAAGGTAAGGTTACATGGGATATTTGAATCCTTTTTTTCCCCCCCTTTAATATTACAAACTTTCTCAGAACTGTTTTATGTCCACTGCATATGGGAATACAATTTACATATACAGTTTACCTATTTAATGTACAATTCAGTGGCTTTTAGTATATTGGTGAAGTTGTGGAATCATTACCAAAATCAAGGCCTTTTTATCACCTAAAAAGAAACTTCAAACCGTTTGGTAGTCATCTCTCATTTCCCTTTAACATTCTTGCCCTTAGGCAACCACTGATCTCTGTAGGTCTATGGATTTTTCTATTGTAGGTATTTTAAATATATGGAATCATACACTATATAGTCTTTGAACCAGCTTTATTCACTTAATGTACTATTTGTAAGATTCATATATGTTGTAACATTTATCAGTATTTCCTTGTATTGCTAAACAGTGTGCAATTGTATCTAATTTCATTTATTCAGTCATTAGTTGTTATATATTTCAGTTGTTTCTACTTTTTAGCTATTGTGAATGATAATGCTGTGAGTATATATATACAAATTGTCTTGTAAACATAATGTGTTCATCTTGAGTGTATACATGGGAATGGAAGTGTTTCTATGGTAACTCTTATGTTTCATCTTTGAGGCACTCACATAATGTTTTTCCAAAGTTATCTGTGCCATTTTATATTTTCGTCACCTATATATAAAAGCTCCAATTTCTCTACATCTTAAACATGTGTATTTATCTGTTCTTCAAAATTTAAACCAACCTAATAGATATGAAGGGGCATTATATATATTATATACATATGTATATATATTATATATGTATATGTGTGTATATATACATGTACATGTATATACCTATACATATATACCTATACATACACACACACACACATATATATATATTTACACACATGTATGTGTGTATATATATATATATATATATATTTTTTTTTTTTTTTTCCTTTGGTCAGTCGTAAGGCCTGAACTCTGGGGCCTGGGCGCTGTCCCTCTGCTCTTCAGCTCAAAGCTAGCACTCTACCACTTGAGCCACAACGCCACTTCCGGCTTTTTTTTCTGCTTATGTGGTGCTGAGGAATCGAACCCAGGGCCCCATGCAGTCAAGGCAAGCACTCTATCACTGAGCCATGTTCCCAGCCCTGAAGTGACATTTTATCATGGTATTAATTTGCAATTCCTAATGGCTAATGTCTTAAGCATGTGTCCATGAGGTATTGGTGATTTTATATCTTGTTCTTATAAAAAATTTCAACCCTTTGCTTCATTTTAATTTAAAAATTGTATTAAATGTCTTTTTCTAATTTTGCTATCTTCTGTAAAGCCCTTCAATTTTTTAGTATATATATATATCTTATTGTAAAGATACTCTACAGAGGGCTTACAGTTACATGAGTAAGGTAATGAGTACATTTCCTATTGAGCACTGTTACCCCCTCCTTTGTTTTTCTCCTACCATCCCTTCCTCTCCACCTCCCCAACTCCCTCCTCTCCCCTCCTTCAAAGTTGTAAAGTTCATTTCTAACATAGTGTCTTGTATATATCATTGTTACAGTGGGCCAGACTATCCTCATTTCAGCTTTTTGTTACTTCCCTTCCCCTCCCCAAATTAGAAAAATGTATAAACAAGATGCAGGGCACTGGAATCAAATACAGTGAAAAAACAGGGGTTATACCATGGGGGAAGAACATACAAAAGAAACAAAAAAAAATCACATAGTACATTATAAATACATTAAAAACAGCAGCAAGAAAGAGAAAAAAAAACCTCTATGTCCCTATTTTGGGTTCATTTCGCTTAGCATCATCTTATATGGTCATAGGTACATAGCTTTTGACCTTTTCTGCTTGTCTTAGATATATACTAGTTATTGCAAATAAGGGAAACCATGGGACCTATGTTTCTTTGCACCTGGCTTCCTTCACTTAATATAATTTTTTTCCAAGTCTTTCTATTTCCTAACAAATGGGGCAGTGTCATTTTTTCTGATGGAGGCATAGAATTCGTGTGTGTGTGTGTGTGTGTGTGTGTGTGTGTGTTTAACACATTTTCTTGATCCATTCATCGACTGAGGGGCATCTGGGTTGGTTCCATATCTTAGCTATGTACTAGTTGTGCTGGTAGCTTTAGTATGGCCTTGTTTGTGATCATTTGGGTAAATGCCCAAAAGTGAAGCCCTTCATTTTCTAAATACATGTCTCTTCATTTATATGATTTTCAAATAATCTCATATCAGTTGCCTTTTCACTTTCTTGATGATTATTTTAAATAGTAATGTGAAGAAGTGAAGTTGATCTAACATAGAGGAGATAATCACTTCTAGGCCTATTCCTTAATTTAATGACATCAAGGACAAATATACAAATATACTCTACGGAAATATACTTCCTAAAAATAATTCTGCTTTTAAATGAGTCATATTCTAATTTCATAGTGGTGATATCAGATTCTAAGATAACTTACAAACTCAAAACTGAATTATTAATTTTCATACATTTAAGGTTAATGATTAATTGTATACCTCAAATGTCTCTCTGAATGAAAATGAGAATCATCACATTAACTATATTTATAGTATAAAATTCTTTTTTCCTATTGTATTGAGTGCAAATACATAGATTTCTAACATCTGTTTTGTTGTAGTTTTATCCCTAATAAAAGGTGGTTAAGGAAATTAACTTACATTATCTGATTATAAATTAAGAAAAATGTGAGAAATCATATAAGACAGGAATAAAACATAACTCAAATTTCTTAGATGAAAATTAGTATATTATCCTTTTACTGATTTCCAACATTGATACTGTAAAGAAAACATTTCCTTTGTTGGAATGAGGAAATTATTTCATTCCTAAATTGCAGACATTTTACTTTTTATGTTTATAACCTGAACTATTTAAATAATTGAATATTAATTTCATATTAGTCATGTTGTAAGATATTTTAAGTGACTGAAAAAATAATTAACTATATAGACTTTTATATGTTGACAAAACTTCATTGGCATTTAAATAAGGAAACTAAGTAAATTTTTTAAAATTTTATATTACTTGTATAGAAGGGTCCCATTCAGCAAGGTCTATTGCACTTAATTAGCTTATTTCATCAGCAACCCTGAACTGGAAGCTGCTTGTTTATGAAAGCAGGACACTGGACTGATACGTTTTAATGTGCTCTGTAGTCCAAAAAGTGTGATTTTTGTGATTATGGGTTTCCAATTCATTTTTTCTTTTTGCCACTTTAGAATAATTCATTAGAACTAAGCAAAATTATGAATAATCATAGTTGTATATCAAATTAAGAGAGTTATTTCTATGTTGGCTACTAATAGATTAAAACTTTATTAGAAATTTGGGATAACTGCAAAAACCAACAGAAGTGTTTGGGTCTAGCTTTGACCTCTAAAAAAAATAAAAAATAGTAAAGAATTCAAAAATTTATACTTGTGAATGTTATTAGCAAGTGGAAATGCTTTCTAAAAATATAAATTTATTTTCCCATGTTTATTGAATGTCTGTTCTGTGGCAGCCATAGTGCTAGGCATTTGCAGTGCAGTACTAAGCACTTGTTGCCTTTATGTTGTATCATGGGAAGTATTAACGTACAAATACATACAGGGAGTTATGAAAATTTTAAGGCAAACAATTTAATTTGAAGAAAAATTTTAGTTCAACAAAGGCAGCATGCCTAAAAATACATTTGAGATACAAGTGTATTTTTATTCTCTGAAAAATAAAGCATGGTAAAGATATGGTGGAATATGAGATCAAATGACAGACCGTGTGCTTTCTATATGAAAAGACTGGACACAGTGACCTGTCGGTTTAATGGTATTACTCTTTGCAGCCTTTGGACATTCCGGATGGCCGAAGAGCTCCACTCCCTGCTCACTACCGGAGCAGTAGCACTCGCAGCATAGACACCCAGACTCCTTCTGTCCAGGAGCGCAGCAGTAGTTGCAGCAGTCATTCACCCTGTGTATCCCCCTTTTGTCCACCCGAATCCCAAGATGGTAGCCCTTGCTCAGCAGAAGATTTACTATATGATCGTGATAAAGGTGAGAATGGACTTATCTATTTAAATGAAGTGTTTTCTGTGGGGCCTTGCACATTATATTGTCTGTGTCTTAGACCATTGCATCATTTTTCTTTCATTGAGTGGTAAGATTATAAAAGATGGGTTAATCTAGGTTTGTTCATTGGTTTCCTGTACCCTCTTCTTTGTGACTCTCACAAACATCTTCCATAAATGTGTCAGAGAAGCACAGCGTCCAGAGCTAACGACAGCTATAAGTGGACTGTATACCATCTCTCTTATCACTGTCTAGAGCTGATGAAAGTTCATGGTGGAGTGCATCTTCCTCATGCCAAAAACTAGACTTTTAATAGCTAATTTTAGAGGAATAATTAGCCATTTCTTCACATTTTTTAGAGAAGTAAATATATTTTTAACCAAGTAGACAAAGCTCTGTGAACTCAGAACCTCATTATATTATAGTGTGTAAGTGAGTTACCCTTAACATTTCTTCCTGCCTATTACTTCAAATTGACCAATTTTGTAGGTGGAATAAAACGCAAAGTAGAAATAATGGTAGTGGCAAATGTAGGCAGTTAATTCTGGATTTTTTCTCCTTCTTAAGATTAATACCATGGATAATTTTGAAATGCTAAACCAAAAATGCAAAATTTATTGGCAAAGATGTTAGATGAATTCTGTTTCAGTTGACTGGTTGTGACATTACCTTTAGGACCTCCAAGTAAATATGTCCATGAGACAGAAGTATGTGGTCTTAGTAGTTCAGAAGAGGTCTTCACTTAGATCTTGAGTTTCAAATAGTGTAGATTAACTTAATGTCTCTTTTTTTTTACCTGAAACTCTATAGCCCTTTTTTTTTTTTAACTGAGAAAGTATAATCTCCCACCCTAGGTCTTTTGCCCAGAAACATTATTACACCGATGTTAAGAACAGTATGGGCTGCTAGGCACCAGTGGCACACACTCATAATCTAGCTACACAGGAGGCTGAGATCTGAGGTTTGAAGCTAGCCTGGGCAGGAAAATCCATGAGACTATCTTCCAGTTAATTTGGATGTAGAGCTGTGGCTCAAGTTGTAGGACAGGATCCTTGAGCAATGTCCAGGCCTGAATTCAAGGCCCAGGACTGATACACACACACAAAAATAGATAATCTCTGGGGCAGTTTTTTTTTTAACAGTTAAAAAATGTTTCTTAGTAAAATAAAGTTGCTGAGGCAGACAGATCTTGAGTTCAAGGCCAGTCTGGGCTACATAAGTAGATCTTGTTTTGAAAGAGAGAAGAGAAAGTGTGAAAGAGTGAGGGAGAAGAAGGAGAGAGAATACAGTAGAAATGAGAGAAGAAAGGGGGAAAAGGAGGAAAATATCTATCCCATTGTTTGGAGCATTAAATAAGATAGTGCATTGCAGTGTACTTACAAACACAGTCCTTATTTGTAGGAAACAAATGGTGGTGAGCAATATACTGTTATGCAGCTGTGTTTATAGAGAAGAAAGTTGCCAATTTTCTGTTTATGGAGTTTATATGTGTTAATATCATTCAAACTATAGAATAATCTCTTAACTGTGGCCTCTCTATGTGAAGTCTAAATGATGGGTTTGATTTTGTTGATCTGTATGTGTGTGTTTGTTTTAAATACAAATATATTATGATTTACTTTTTCTATACTAAACTATAAATTGGTCTTTTTTATTCCCAATAAAAGAAAATAGAATCTGTATAGTTCCTTACTGGTTTTCATTAACCATAAAAAAATGAATACTGTAATTTTCTAATCAATTAGAATCAATTTGCATACCTTCAATAGACTTGCTAGTTGAGGCATCAGTAGAAGCCTGAGCAGGAGGTGTGAGGATCAGCTGTAGTGAATTCATGTACAGTGACAGATGTGCTGCTATGCTGATTATTTTCTAGTACTCATAATATCCTTTTTCCTGCCTTTACTGACATTTCTTCCTGTTCCTAACATTGATTGGCCATAAATCAGGTATAATTGATATGAATAATTTTAGTTGAATAATACACTGGTTTTTCCTTGGACTATATCAAATGAAATGCTGGGACAAAAACACTTGACTATTTAGAAAGTTCCTCTTGAGAGACTTATTCAGGTGAATATTTTCATTTTGTTATTTAGTTTGGGCCCTGCTTTTTACACAGATTTTCCCAATAACCTAACACCTGTAGCTCCTGGTAGAGAACTCAAGTATCCAGAATAAAAGTTTTTATCTTGACAATTTTGTGTTAACATTATCAGAATATATTGTAAGAGTTAGCCTAAATCCTTCCACATTTTTATGTCTAAACTGTAGGGAATCTTGTATTTTTTATATATAATCTGTATTATATATAATATTGATGGCAATATAAAAATATTGCTCTTTTAGCAGCTCGGCCATGGTTCTTTGATGGTAGCCATACTAGTGCTGGGCAATTTAGACTTGTCTGACACTTATTGATATTTGGTACAATTCAGGCAGTTGTTCTAAAATCCTGCTGTTTTACAAGATACTGTGGAAACATCATGAAGTAAATGGAGCTACTTTATTCAGGTCAGTTAGTCCTAAAACTCATAAATTGATTACACATTACTTAAACTATATTTTCTTGAAGGAACAATGTGGTTGGAGTTTCCCAAGCCAGTTCAACTCATACTATGACTTTGACTTGTAAACATTAATATTGCTGAACTTGAGGTAGTAGGATTAAGCAACCATTAGTTCCAGGAGTACAAGGAAAAGTATTCGCTTGTCTTTTAGATTCTAGAGCTGATCCTAGATAGATTTTTTTTCTATTTTTTATTTTATTTTTATTGTAAAGGTGATTTACAGAGGGATTGCAATTATGTAAGTCAGGTAATGAGTACATTTCTGTTTGAACAGTGTGTCCTCTTCCATCCGTTTCTCCCAGTTTTTCCCTCCCAGGCCCCTGACCCCATAAGTTGTGTAGCTCGTTTGCAATTGCATTTGTTCATCTTTGTCCTGAAATAGCCTGCTTTGGGCAGGCACCTTTCCTAACTTCTGTGTAATCCAGACCTCAGCAATGATCTTTTGCAAGACTGTCCTAATACATTTTATTGCCTTTTTGTGGAAGTAATAGGCCTTACATAGCATTCATCTGTAAAACAAGATCCTGGTGTGGAAGAAATTGTATAGTTGGAGTCCCTGCATGAATGTTGAGAAAAAAAAGCAAGGAAAGTGGAGAGGTGGAAAGACTAGTATTTCACCAGTAGTCCTTTAGTCATCACTAAGAAATAAAGGGCCAAGGAAAAATGACCAGCTTAATGCTTAAGAGCCCTAACTTAGGTAGAACTTCACAAGTGGAGAGAGATCTTGGAAGAAGATATAACATTCTATTTTGATGGTTTAGTTATGTGGTTCGGAATTTTATTATATACCCTTATCACCAGTTTTAAGTTTGTACCCTTAGTGTAATATTTCTAAGTTAGATGTGTTTTCATTCCACAGACTGAGTATTAGTAAAGTTAATTTGTTTTTAAAGACAAAATGTGAAAAGAATGTTTTAATATTTCTTTCTGAATGTCAACAGATTGCTGACAGTCAGAGGCCAGAGTTGTTGGGCAAAGATGAGGCAGGATAGCAAGGGCAGAGGAACTTAGAACAAAGAGCCTGAAGAAGAAACAGCAGCATTTGATGGCTGATTTAACTGCATTAGAGGGAGGAGGGGAAATTAAGTATAATAGTGTGAGAAATGTGGAAAATTACTCTTCTTAGTAAGAGGTGAACATTGGAGAAATAATATATTTACGGTGAATAAAATGGTAAGGTTAAAGTTCCACCTTGGTTTCTGCTTTAAGATGTTGTAACACCGTTTGCTTTTAGAATTTTTTTTTAAAGAAGCAATAATGGGTTTTAAGGGGTTTTATCTAGAGTTGATTAAGGCAACATTTATAGTACTTTGCCTTGCTTTGTACTTTACCTATATGTAATGGTCAGTAAATATTTACATGAATACTTAAAACTGAAGTACGGTTTTATTAGAGGTTCAAGAACATCTCCCATAGATACGTACATACTTCTGTTTATCCCCACAGGAGCAGTGTATTTGAGGTTTTTGAAAACTGATGTTCCTGTTAATGTTTTTTTCATTTAAAAAGATTGAGAAAGTAAAACAGAATATGTCATAATGATTTTCCTGATATTTTTAAATGTATTATACCTTTTTCAAGATTTTATACACACACACACACACACACACACACACTTTTTTTGTGTGTCAATGTTAGAACTTGAATTTAAGGCCTTAGTAGTGTTCCTGAGCTTTTATGTTCAAGGCTAATGCTCTACCACATGAGCCACAGCTCCACCTCCAGCTTTTTGGTGGTTAATTGGAGATAAGAATCTCACAGACTTTTCTGCCTAAGCTGGCTTTGGACCATGATCCTCAGATCTACCCTCCTGAGTAGGTAGAAATACAGGCCTAAACCACCAGCACCCAGCAAAGTATTTTAACTTGTGATTTATTTTGTTTAGTTTTCTGTTGTTACAAAATTCCTTAATTTAGTCCACAAATTGGTTTTAGGACTGTCTTCATAATGTGATCTCTTTTTACTTGCAGCTATTGTGTTAGATTCTAAGTAGTGGAGACAGTAAGCATGGTGTTCTTGTTTTCTATGGCTGTTTTGTAGGAGAAGCATTGTACTTAATATTAGCATATAAAACCAAAAGAGCAACTGTAATGTACTTAATTTGCAAATTCATATCAAGTCAATACTTGAAGAATAATAAGTGATTAAAATATAAAACAAAATACCTACTATGACAAATGATTAATCAGCCTAACATTTGGAATATAATTTGAGTTCTACGTATTCAAGTTTTTATTAAAGCTTTCTAAGCTTTAATTCATTATCATGTGTTCAATAATATTTGGGAAGCTACTTGTAAGTTTGATATTGATCACATGCAATAAATATGATGTTACACCTAAACAACCAGTAAAGTGTTTCCATGCTTTTGATACTTAGAATTGGATGATTGTTATAAAGATATTGATAGTATTCATAGCTCTAACTATTCAGGAGACTGAGGTCTGAGGATTACTGTTTGAAGTCAGCCCAGGCAGAAAATTCTTGTGAGACTCTTGAGTGTTAATTCAGATGGTGGAATGCCAGCCTTAAGCAAAAAAGCCAAGACTGCAAGGCCCTGAGGTCAAGCCCAAGTACTAGCATAAAAACAACAAATACAAATAAAGAGACTATGAGTACAGAAAATATGTGAGTAATCATAGTCATTGCTTTTAACTGTATTGGCATTGGCTATGATTGTTATGAAACCAATTATGTTTTCTAGTTATGATCTTATATCATTCCCCGGTAGGATAACAGACTAATAACACTGACATACTTGTGAACAAAAAGTACTCAATAAAGATTATTTACTTCATCATCTGAGCAGGCATACTGACTTCATTTGTAACATTTTGTTGAAATGTGGTTATTAAATTTAACATGGAGTTTTAAATAAGTTACCCATCATCTGTGTTCAAGCCTGGAATAGGCAAGGTTGGTTATGTAGCTTGTTTTTAAAACATACTTTGTAAAGCAAAAGTATTGATAGTGTTCCACCATTGTATTTTAAAACTATTAAAGAAAAAGAAACATAGAATTTAGAGCTTAGGAGAGACATTTCCTTTAATTACATAGAAACATAGGCAGTTTTGTTCAAAGGTAACCTACCTATACAACAGGAGCTAGCTGTATAGATTAGATGCTTCCATTTTCTGTTTCTTGTGCAGATACTTACTAGATACTTATCTGAAAGTCAAAGTTCTTATTTAACATAGATTTGTTTATAGTTTCAAAATGCTTTTTTTTTAATCTTTGTTTTTTTTAGACCACCAAACATAAGATGTAAATAACAGGAAGCCAAATAATTTGTATTGAAATGGCAAGAAAAAAAAAAGAGTAACAGCAAATAAAACTGTAAAAACGTTTTATAGCCTGTGAAACTTGGAAATATTTTAAGAAGAAAAATTAATTGTAGATTATTGATGGAGAGACTATCACTTTGTAGTTTATTTCTCTAGCTTTCAACTCTGGAAAAGTCCCTTGAAACATCAAGAAGACTGTAAGAGAAGTGTGGAGTAGGAGTGGAAGGGAAAAAACAAATTGTTTAAATAGGGATACAGGTTGAGCCATTGCAACAATGAGATGTACAAGATGCTATGTCAAAAAACAAACTTTACAATTTAGGAAGGGTGGGGGATGTAGTTGTGGAGATGGGAGAGGAGGGGAAAAATAAAGGAGGAAACAACAATGCTAGATAAGAAATATACTCATTATCTTGTTCATGTGATTGTAACTCCTCTGTACAGTATTTTCACAATTAAAATATTAAAAATGAAAAAAAGAAATAGAATGGAGACTAATGATAGCCAAGGTGACTTTTTACATGCTGATAGAGTGGATCCTTGCCTATTGACATCATTTTACCTTTATTGATAGCATAAAGGACTTGCTAGAGAGCTCTGCTGTGCCCACAGAGCTCTCCATGAAGGCATCTTAGCCAATGTTTTCTTATTTGTATTCTGGATCTCATGTTGTTGCTGTTCAGATAGTAAAGCGAGGCCATGCTATATTTTTGGTATTACATCAAGTTCAAGGCTTCAGTCTCACCAGTTTATTTTTTTGACCTGTCTTTGTAGTCTAGCCTCACTCAAACAGAGACTGAGTTCAGAACCTTTACTTGGATGCTTTATATAATCTAAGAAAGAGTCATAGTCCCCTTCCTTTCTTTCATTTGTGTAAGCAAAATACAAAATTCAAATCTAAATGGTATTAGAAGAAACCTCTAAAAATATAAAGTCATTTTATTTATTTCAAGAGTCTATTCTATACATGTTCTGTGAGGAAGCTTAGTAATGATAAACTCTGTGATCTTCCTAGCATTTCCAATAGTGTATCTTTGTTATGTTTCAGAAAAAATTTCAGCCAGAGATATAGCCGTATTCATTCACAGGCATATTTGTGAAACTAACAGATGCTCTTTGAATCATTCACAAGATGAAGTAATAGCAGGCAGGGAAGGTCTACTTTATAAGTATGTATGGTTGTAAAAGTATTCCTGTTACTAAGATTCTGAATATTGGACTGTGTTATATATACTGAACTGAAAGCATCATACCAAATTGTAACGGAATTATGGTGCTACTGACATTTTTAAGTAAATTGAAAATACATCCAATCAATCATATACTTAGTATTTTAGCAGTGGGAATTGGTTTGCATTAAGTAAGACTTTACATAAATAGGACTATTTATATTTTTACAAATACATCACTGACTTTACAATTCAGCATCTGATGTTTTTTGGTAGATTTGAATTTCCAAAACCATTTGCCAGATAGGAAAGGGAGAAATTATGTATAGTTTTTATAGCTTTTCATGAATAGATGGTTTTCTTTTGGGTCCAAAACTATGAGGAAAACATACTAGGTAAAGATGTTTTTGTATTTTCATGTCTTCGAATAGCTAAAATTCTAAGTGTGCTGAAAAAGCTCTTTCATAGACAAAGGCAAAATTTGGGGGTCTTTTACGTTTTTATGATGGGTAGATAGAAGAAATCAAGATACAAACTTTTCCCCCTGTGCACATGTTATTCATGGTGTCTAGTCTCTGCTAAATTAAAAAACTTTAGTAATGACATTATTCCACATACCAAAATTTTTATTTAAATTGGTTTGGACAGTGAGAAAGCTTACAGAGAATTCTGCTTTATTATAATCTGTTTTAATTTATCTGTATGCTTGATGCATATTATTCTACTCACGTTCTTGAAACACATCACATTTGTTTTCACTTTATAGTATACTTTATTCAAAATGTAGTTTACTGACTAAAATATCCTTCTTTTATATTGTATGGTACGGCAGATACATTGAATTTTTTTTATTTAAAAGAAACACACTACACAAGGTGTTAGAGGTAGCTTTGCAATCAAAAAGGCTCTGGTAGAAAAGTGGGTAGTGGTAGATTTATTGTGAAAAAGTCTGGAAGTCAAATTTAGTTTAAAGGAGCTTTCAATCACTAGTTAATATAACTGCTTTAAATTTACAGACAGTGGGAGTAGCTCACCGTTACCCAAGTATGCTTCATCTCCCAAACCAAACAACAGCTACATGTTCAAACGGGAGCCCCCCGAGGGATGTGAGCGAGTGAAGGTCTTTGAGGAAATGGCGTAAGTAATGTCTTTTCTACCAGCTGGATTCTGTAAAACTGTAAAGCTTTTTGCTGAAACCAGCTGATTATAGATGAATCAACTACTCCATCCAGCTGATAATGTGTTTCAAAAGCAAATGATGAAAAGAGATCTTATTGAAGGAGAATGGGAGTCTGTATAAGCCAGTTCAAAAAAAACAAAAACAAAAAAACTTGGGAATTTTTTCCTCCCGTGAAAAGCTTTTGTTTTTTTTCTCTCTTTCTTAAAAAGCTCTGTTTTTAAGCTTCAAAATATTTCTTTCAAAATCTCTATTTAGATGGCTGATAAAAGACATTCAAAGGCAAAATTAATATCTATATGTGACTAGTCTACAGACATGCATGCCACAAGCTAGAGAGAAAGTGATCTCTTTCCCTGTACATACATCTACCATGTTTGTTTATGAATTTAGGCTTTCTGCTCATAGATTTTTTCCCCTTTTATTTCAATATGTGTAAGTTAAAAATTAAGTTAGAAAAGAGGTTCATGCTATAAATCCTGACCAAGAAACTCAGAAGACCATGTGGCTCTTGGTTTCACAGCGTGTTATGTCTCAGTGCAGGGACCTAAGAGGCTACTATACTCCTGTAACTGCAAAGGACTGACCCAGGTCAGGAAAGAATTGAATGGAAGAGAGCTTGTAGACTTTGTTACACTGACTATCTCTTTGAGAGACGCCCAAACTTTTTTCTGTCTGTGCAAGTGGAAGTACTTCTAGAGATGCAGAAATGGGAGGAAGTACTTTACACCAAGTTCACAGTACTTAATGCCCCTCTTTATGCCTTTGCTTTACAGAAAAGGTTGTCATAACCTTGCATAATCTTCAGCTATGATATGGGAAACTTTTTCACAATCCTAAATGATTAAAAGCAGGTTAATGATCTCTGAAAGTTTGCCTGCCTAGTCCTTTTGAAAATTGTTTTGTCTCAAGTACACATCAGTGCTGTGTATGTGAATTGTCTGCCAGCTGACTTGTGCTATGGAAGATGTTTACCCCTCTGTGTACACTTAACCCATCCCTGCCATTCACAATTTAGATGTTCTAGAGATCTCCAGTTCATTTAGAAAGTGCTTGACCTCTTGGTGACTGTAAACCTTATTTTGTTTTGTGGTTTTAGGTCTCGTCAGCCTATCTCGGCCCCTCTCTTTTCATGTCCTGACAAAAACAAGGTTAATTTCATCCCAACCGGGTCAGCTTTCTGTCCTGTAAAACTTCTAGGCCCGCTCTTGCCTGCCTCTGACTTGATGCTCAAGAACTCTCCTAACTCTGGCCAGAACTCAGCTCTGGCAACTCTGACGGTTGAGCAGCTCTCGTCTCGGGTTTCCTTCACATCTCTTTCCGAGGACACCAGCACATCAGGCTCCCCAGAGGCTTCTGTCCAACAGACACCCCAGCAGCAGCAACTCCTTCAGGACCCGCAGGCTGAGGAACACATCTCTGCTCAGAACTACGTGATCATATAAAGCAGAGGGGGAGCCGGCCTCCACCCATACACTATGAAGGGGAACGAGATCTCAGACATCTATCTGCATGGAGCGACAAACTTTCTCAACACACCAATACAAACTTAGCATTATAACGTATCTCTTAACACTGATCTTGGCAGGGACGGAACTCCTTTTCAGCAGTTTTTGTGGAAAGCAGTAATGCTTGCAAAATGTGTATGTCATTCAGCATTTTAAGTGGAGACTATGCATTTCATTGTATGTTGGACAGATTAGTACTGTGTCCTGTGTTTTGTTCCAAATTCTTCAGTATAAATAAGCTCTATATCAAAAGTTGCCTGTCTAAATAGAAAATGTCTTGCTGTGTTTTGTCCTATGGAAAATACTGTACTTCAGGATTATGTTTACAATTGATCCAGGTGTTTGTTTCTAACTTCTGTAATACATACAATGCAAAAAAAAATGGCCACAACAGTTGCACAGTGCCCACCCTATGGCCTAGCTTCAGGTACTTCAGTTGAAGTCTAAACTCAGGTAACTTGGAATGTATATCATATTGGGATACTAAATATTTCACAGCTAAAAAGCTAAAGAGGGAACATCACTCTTTTGCCTTTCCTTATTTTATGCATTTCCCTTTCCTCATTACATTCCACATTCTTAGAATTAGAAGTGCATTCAACTCTAGGAGAATGATAATCCTGGACATGGGTGAACGTGAGAAGAACCAGCAAATCTGTGGTGTGTGACATCACTTTGTCATGTGGTTACCAGTAAAACAACTGTTGTATTCACTGTTTCAACATGTGTATATGTGGCTTTTTTAAAAGTTCAGGTGTTGCTCAGTTAATGACTGTTACAGTGTTGCAAATGAAATGTTGCGTACTAGACTGTACATGAACATTCCATATTGTATGTGATGGAATTTAAAGACAAGAATGTCTAGGGTCTAATTTCCAAACAAGTGAAGTTTCACAGGGGATGGTTAAGGTTTTTCTTGTTTAGATTGGCCATCAGGATCATAATTGCTACCATTTTTATCTAAAGGCATATTAATAGTTTCACCTTGACAAGTTCCCTAATTTTCAGGTTATTGTTTTCCTCGAGCAGTTTCTGTGCATGAATTTTCATCACATAGAATTCATAGGTCTCAGAATTGATACAGCATAAGTGAATAGGCTGGTTGGTGACTTGCAGAAGCAATAGTTTGACATCTCATTTAAGCCTCACATACATTATCATGAATAGTGTTGTTAAGATTTTGAATGTGTGAAGTAGAGTTTGAACCCAGGTGAATACCCTTGAACTTGAAGACTTGATATAAGTTCTCCATAAAGTGTGCAGAAGCCCCTAGATAAAGGTCAGTGGGAGAGCCTGACTTTCGGACATTGTTTTCTGCGGAATAGAGAGTATCCAAAAGTAAAGGGAAGCTTTTGTATTTGTATTTCATTGTTTTCATTTCAGCAAAACCTAGAGTTGTCTCATTTGTACCGAAAGTGTATGGCACAATACTTTCTTATAAATTGAGGGAACAAGATGCCTATAGTTAAGAGGAATGTTTCAGTTCCTGTCAGTCATTCCTGAGTTTTCTTTGATTTGTCTATTTTCTAAGGAGGATAGAAGATAAGGGTGATAGAGAAGAAAGTAACACCATTTTTTAAAGAGAGAGAGAGAGAGAGAGAGAGAGAGAGTGTGTGTGTGTGTGTGTGTGTGTGTGTGTGTGTGTGTGTGTTATGTGTGTTGAAACCCTGTGTATTACTTTGTCATGATCCCAATTCTCTTCTTTCCACCAAAGTTTGCAGTAATATTCTCTCCAGAAAGTGCATTCTGGCTCCTTTAAAGCAGTCAGTGTTATATCTGAAGGAGACTGTCATGGAGAAAAGGACTCAGTTTACTTTGCCGTCTTCACAGGGGAACCTTTAAAACTATCTTAGCAGCAGCAGCAGATACCTTTAACCCTAATAATCTCAGGCCTTGATGAAAATACTCTATTTTGTAGATTATGGTTAAAGGGAGAAAATTACTAGTTCCGTAAGATAAATATGAGCTCCATTTAACTTCTGATATCTGGTTTAGCATTCCATGATGTGTTGAATTTATGCTCTGCTTTTGTCCAAATAAGCTGCAATAGTATCAATATCAGTTCTAGAAAGTTAGACACAACATGCTTTTTTGGTGATGAAATCTGATGTACGATATTTATGGTGACATGTGCTTTTATTTTTCTCATGAGAAACTAAATATGAATTGTGTTGTACATTTGTTCTTAGCATATATTAAAGTTTTGAACCAAATGTGTTAAAGATTATGCTTTGTCATGTAAATTTCCTGGAAGTTGTTGAGCTCAAATGTATCCTACATCCAGCTGTAGAAATTTGTCAGAAATTGTTTAAATTTTTTGTATATAGTTGTACTGTTTAATTTTAGCCACTGAGCTGAACAGTATTCGAGTTATCATACAATATTGGCTTTACACAAGGAAAAGTGTGGCTTCTGTTTTGTATTTTTTCAGTATAGAAGTTCCTGTGTCTTATTTAAATAAAGTTATTAGTAAAACTGGAATCCTTCATGTGTGTTTTTGAAAAACCAGGGTTTGGGGCACATTACTAACAAAGATGAATTCAATACTCAGTGCTCAGCAATTTCCTGACCTATGTCTCTAGAGCTGTGGGACAACTCTCTGATCAGATTTCTCCAACTTGCTTTCCTCTTGGCACTTAATTCGTACACTTTCCATTACAAGGTAAAAAGCTAGATGTCTAGAATTCCAAGTCTTTGTACTGATCCTAGCTAGGAGCACCTTAAATAGAGAAAACATTGTTCCCTATCATTATTTTATACCTAACAACTAATAGGAAGTGAGTTTAAGTTTAGTAAAATCATTTCCAAGGAAGCTGCATATATCTTACAAAAAAACCCAGCTATTAATGATAAAAATTTTATCATCTCATTATATTCCAAATAAGAGGAAAAACTTGACAAAATGTTTTTCCTGTTACACCTAAATTGGGGCATGGCTTGTCATAAGGGTGGCATAAAATTTCACCAAAGCAAACTGCTTTGAGTGTTTACTTACAGTGTTGTTCATTTCTGAAGCACAACTCATCAACAGAATTGATAAGATTCAGCCTTTAAGGGGGATGAGGGCATAGGGCAGTGGTGCTTGCCTAGCATGTACAAGGCCCTGCATTAGAGCTCTAGCACCAGACATAACTAAAGTCTTTAAATTAAATTGAATTTTAAAATGACTAGTAGCTAGGTTTTCTGTCTGCAAAATAAACTAGAACTTTTTCGAGGATGAGATTAGCTATATGAAAAGATGTGTAATTCATGCAGAAAATTATCAGAACTAGACATGGTAGTACTTTAATCCCAGCACTTGGAAGACTGAGGAGGGAGGATCAAGAGTTCAAAGCCAGCTTTGGCTGCACAGTTCCAGGATAGCCAGGTTACCTAGCAAGACCTTGTCTCAGAAGATTGAAAACCAACAAAAGACTAGAGACTGGATACAGGTACCTTGTATCATACAAGGTACATACATTCTTTGAGACTAGAAAATCTCAATGGTTTACACCAAGGGGAGATCTGGGCAGAGAGCTGGTTTTCCTTGGATCTACTTGAGCTATGTGAGAAGCTGCTGGATTCTTTTGACATTGCATAGTACCCTGAACACAGCCCTCAGCTGGTGGACCATGAGCTGCTTGGTATAGGAACACAATTTTTTTTTTAATTCTGAAAATACCATACAGAGGGGTTACAATTACATGGGCAAGATAATGAGTACATTTCTTATCAAGCATTGTTGCCTCCTTTGTTTCCCCTTCCCATCCCTTCCCGTCTCCACCCTTTACTCCCTTATTCCCCCTTACCGCACTCTCCCCCCACCCCCCCGCGCCAAAGTTGTAAAGTTCGTTTTTCAACATAACGATTTGTACATCTCATTGTTGCAATGGGTCTACCTGTATCCCTATTTAAACGATTTGTTTTTTCCTTCCCCTCCACAAATTATACTAACATCAAATACAGTGAAAGCAGGGGTTGTACCATGGGGGAGGAACATACAAAGCAACAAAGAAATCAAAAATATAGGAACACAATTTCTAAGGTAAATAGACATCATGTGTGGAAGGATGTCACTTGATTAATAACTGATCGGCCTTGTAGACTGAACAGTTGGTAACCCTTGAAATGTTGAAGTTTTCAGTGGCTCATTAGCAGTGACCAGGAACCCGGCCACCTGACCAGGTAAGATAATCCCCTAATCTTAAAATAGCATTTAAGAAAGACATTGAAATATCTATCTGAGCTCCCAGTTTAGGGCGTGACTGAAAATGACCAGCAGATTACCCCAGTGCTCACACTTAACCTCCTCATTCCGTGAGTGCACAATGGGGGAGTGCTGCAGCAATTCAGACTGACTCTAGACCAAATCAGAACATACCTCACCTTTTCAGGGACAGAACCATGATCTCTAGCAGCAAGAGATGGAAACTGAACAGGGCATAGGGGTGCATGCCTGCAATCCCAGCACACAGCAGTCCGAGGCTGGAAGATTGCAAAGCAGAGGCTGGCCTGGGCTGTCACCTGGCCTTGTCTCTAAGTTCTGTGCTCGCTGAGAGCACTCTGCGTTGGGAACCTGACAATATCCAGTGGCAGCCTGAACAGTCAAGTGGCAATGGGCTGTACAGAATAGTACAGCCCATTTTGAGTTAGGCCTTTGTTGTCAGGGATCTATGTTTTCAGAACCATGGGATGGCCTGTGATGTATGTTTTTTGGTTTTGGTCCATGGGTGCCAGCTCATATGACTTTTTTTTTTGTCAATCGTGGGGCCTAACTATGGGCCTGGGCGCTGTCCCTGAGCTTCTTTTGTTCAAGGCTAGTGCTTTACCACTTGAGCCACAGCGCCCCTTCCAGCTTTTTCTGTTTATGTGTACTGAGGAATCAAACCCGGCACTTCATACATGCTAGGCAAGCACTCTACCACTGAGCCACTTTCCCAACCCATGACTTCCTCTTTAAGTCAGGCCATAGAAACTAGGATTTCTGTCTCCCAAAGACGGATCATAAAAACTCTAGATACTGGATCTAAAAAAATAAAATTGTGAACTACCCTTTGTGAACAATAGGTTATAAGACCTTTCTCATTCCATGGAGCCTGCCCCCATACTGTAAAGAAGGAATGATGCACAAAGGGACCTAAAAGCATCTAGACAATGAAGTCCTCATAATAAACATCCAAAAGGACAGGCTTTGGAGAATTTCTGGACAGGTGGAGGTTACTGGAGGGTGAATGCACAGAGGGACATGGAAGTTTCTCCTTCCTCCACACTTTACCCTGGGCGTGTCTCTTCATCTGTATTCTGTGTAATATCCTTTACAATAACACTTGCCATGAGGGATGTCATATTATGATACTTGGGAAGTAAGTGGGCAAACCAATGGCAAGCAGCAGAGGCCTCTGGCCACCAACTGGGCAGGAACTAAGACCCTTTGGCAACCAACATGGAAATACACCCTCTAGCCCCAGGTTGGCTCTGGAGGTGACTGTGATCTCTTGAGACAATTTAAGCCAGAACCAGTAGCTACATTGCTCCTAGCTTCCTGAGCCTCCTGAAACTTGGTAAGGTAATGCCTGTGTATTGTTTTAACATAAAAAAATTTGTAATTTGTTGTATAGGTTTAGAGATCTAATACAATACAGCAGTTACCAGCCCCTTCAACATACATAGTCCCATTGTTACCATGAGGGCATCTACAATCTGCCTATCTAAGTCTGTCTTCTGAGTCCAGAAAATAAGGCTTGCTTTTTCAGAATGGACAGCTTTGAAAGAAGCCCTTTAGGATGTTGAGCTAAAACTTTCTCGTGCAAAATTTTGTTATTTGAACAAGTCACGATAATAAATCTCTACTGTGTGTGCCTAAAAGTTAACGTGTCTAACACTAAACCAGTGTTTCAGAACATCTAGTGAAGAGGAAGAACTAAGACCCCTGGAGAGCTGGGTGCAGATGTCTTATAATTACAATCCTAGCTATAAAGAAGCTGAGACCTGAAGGATTGTAGTTCAAAGCCAGCCTAAGCAGAAAAGTCTGTGAGATTTCATCTACTACTGACCATCAACATGCTGGGCTGGATGCATGGCTCAAGTGGTATAACATCAGTTGTAAGCAACAAAGCTGAGTCAAGTGTGAAACCCTGGTACCAGAAAGAAAAAGAAAAAACCTTAAAGAAATGGATTTTCTGTGGTAACTTATGCAAGAAAGGATGATCAGATTTTACAGCTAAAAAGAAGAGAAAATGAAAAAAATCAGAATTTCTACAGAAAAATGGAAAGATTTCAACCCAGAACATTTTTTGATGTTTCTAATTGGTTTCTGAGTCAGGTTCTCACTGGGTACCCATGCTGACTTTGAGTGTATCATCTTACTTCAGCTGTGCAAGAACTGAGATTACAGGCATGTGCCACTACACTTAGCTTGATCATCTTTTTTTTTTTTTTTCAGTTAATAAAAGGCTGTGACCAGTGGCTCTGAAATAGGCTATCCTATTCCACAGGCATTTCCAAGAGACACAAAATAGCATTTTTCAAAAGTTCCAGATGAGTTTGGTAATGGTTTCCCTCATTCCTAGTAGCCATTTCCTTAGTACTAAGAATTTGAACACTTAGATCATTTTTCTTCTGAAAGATTTGGTGATAAAAAAGGAATGGGTTCCCCTTTCACGCTACAAATTCTGCTCAAGTCTCGCCATCTGATTTAAGTATGACTTTGATGACATTCCTTTACCCAGAATTGGGTATGACCTGCAGGCAATGGATGTTATTTCAAACCACTGTCTGGAAACAAGATGGATAAAGGTGGAAGTAGGGGCCCACCAGGCCCTGCCAAAGGTAAAGAAAGGTTCATGCTGGAAAGACAAACCTTTTCTTAGGTATTTTCTATTCTACTTTGTAAAGGAACAAGGTTATACTCAAGGGACAAGAGTTATCAAAGGACACTTCTCAGATGCTGCAGTAAACAGCTTGCCATTTTTCATAGGGACTGGAGTCAAGGCAGACAGTGGAATCTTACCAGACACTCCATCTGCAATTTGATTACAGATGAAAACCTGGTATGGGCTCACCTGCTCACCTTTCCAGTGACGACCCTGGAGCAAGCCCTGGGAGCTTTGTATTAAGATCCTTTTCCATTTCTAATCTCTAACCTTTTCTCCTGAGTGTTCCCTTCAACTCTTGGCCAATGCAGCAGGTGCTGTGGTAAGAAAATAGGGAGGAGAGTTCGATGAGGGCAGCTAGGGATGGTGACTCATTCTGGCAGGTGGGAGAGGGCTTTTACAATATTGATATGCCATTTAGAAATATTTGATTTTCTTTCTTACAGTAAGCACATGTTCCTTTTGCCATGTTTGGTAAAAGATGAGGGTGCATCCTACCCTTTGGTGTGCAGGGTGGTTGACAGGCTTTTCTCTGCCTGCACCACCTTTTCATCCAGCATCCCTCATCCAGTCTGCTGCTGCAGTGGCTCTAAGAGAGCAGACTGCTTTACATATTTCTAACCTAAAGGC